CCTGTACACTAAATCATAAGGCATTAATTGGTATTAACATTATTTATTATTATTTTTTGAGGCGGAGATGGTGTAGTGACAAGTGGGGCGCTCACCATTCGCGCGGTCCCGGGTTCGAATCCCGGGTCGACTCCCGCCCAGGCCAACTCCGCCCAGGCCAACCAAGCCTTCTACCCTCCGGGGACGGTGAATTGGTACCAGATTCGTCTGGGAGGATAAAACACTGACTTGTACATCGGCTGGCCACCGCAAGTCATTGTATAGGCCACATCGCATTCAATAAGCCACTACGATTCTGAATGGAAGTAGAATGCGTGCCGCATCCCACAAAGGGATTGATCAACGGCGAAGACTTTATCCTTTATCCTTTATCCTTATTTATTTACAATAGTAAAATAGTATCAAAGAATTGATTGAGGGATCTATTTACAAGATATCGTTGATGTCAGCAGGAGTAAGCTGTCGAAAACCTGAAAATATGCACTAAACGAGAACTCGAAGGGAGGACGCTGGGGGGAAAAACCAGTAATCACGGGATCATTCAAATATGCGAAAGGTTGAAGCATCTCGGAGGCGCAGGTGTGTTGCAGTCTCTGGGGCATCCTCTAGTGACTGGACGCTCGCTACTTTTAACTCTGCCAACGTTCTTTGTCTCTCTCCATCTTAACCCAGCATTCCTAGGCCTGAACTTTCCCCGAATAGATGCCCTGTTATGGCAACAAGGAAGGGTCTACAGTTCATTTGAAATTCATCCCTCCAATGACGTCTATCAACTGTTTTTCAACACTCTTCCGCCTGAATGGCGTACTACAACCTCAGCGTGATCTCACACGTTAAAGTTTCCCACGTATGGTACAAGGCCCACTCACTCAAGGGTCCCCTTCCCTCGAAATGACCCATCCCCGCTGGGTGTTTGTTGCACTGAAAGCCAGAAATACGCAAAGTTTTAAGCAGGAGCATTACCTTCAAATGCCTATGATAACGTGAATCACGTGAGATTTTTGCGAAAAGTAGCACGAGTCAAAGACTGTATGTACTTTCGCGTGTTTTGCTCCGCCCACATTGGACAGCTCCGCCCTATTTCTTCACACGTACCTCATCGCCTTTTCCTCCCTGAGCATCCTCGATTGGCACACATTAGCCATATATGCGACTCCGGCGTTCCCATGTACGTATTTCCCCAGTTGTCCGTGCCACCACTGAAATGAAGAAAAATAGATTGTTCTGGACAGGTGAAGAGGGGTGCCTGAGGCGCGGCTGCGCCACGTCATATCTGCTCTTGTTCACTCTCGAATTGGGAATGTGTAGCCTGGGAACGGTCTCCGACAAAGTTTGCGGGCGATATCCATCCCGATGAGAAACGTGACACATACCCCCCCCCCTAGGGCGTTCCGAAGCCATGACCTGGTATAGTGTTTTCTGCTCCTTAACCCCTGCTTCAATAATTTTCTCTATTTGGTAGTCATTTGGGATGAAATAACTCGAGGCTTCACCCTACAAGTTATTGCTGGTTGAGAACGAATAGTAATTAAAGCCGAAAATTCTATTAATCTCATTGTCTTGCCACTAGTATATATTTTACAGTTTCAGTTCAAGAAAGCTACCTAATTATTCCACTAGAAAGAGAGTACAGCGCCATAAGCGACCAGTGGAATAAAGGGACCAATCACTCTTAGAAGGAGGAGAAAACTCACCCGTAAAACTGTGGGAATGGATAACCAGTACACAAAGCGATAAGCAGTAGTATGACGAAAAGAACACGCATATCTGAGAATGGAGTAGGTGAGCTGGGGGTATCCATCAGATGCAAATTCGATGGCTGAGACTAATGGACGGAAACGGAGATCGATAGAGTTTCATTTAATAGTCACGAAAGAAAAGTTATGGTGAATTTTAAGGGGTAGTTCGGGACATCCGAGGTGAGTTATTACGCTCATGACACCATCCTAGCTAGTTGACTCAAAATAACAACCAAGGGGAGTCAGTCCAAAGCATGGAGTTGGCGGCGATGCGCTCCGAGCGATGTCCTTAAAGGCACAGTTCGCGACCGCAAATTGCGGGAAACGGAACTCAAATAGGCACAAAAAAGTGCTAAGTATCTGATTAGCGGAGAAAAGCAGCAGAAAAAGCAGTCCGAAATGTTATAGAGAAAGATAACATAGTGGCTACTAGCTAGTAGCTAGCAGCCGGTGAGGGTCGGCATGGGCCTAAGGGTGTCCATGGGCCTAATTAGTCAGCTTCTAGCGGAGTTCTTGCCGTTTTTCACATTTTGAAAGTAGCGCAGCCTCAAAAATCGCCTTCCGGATCGTCCGACACATTTGAGAGGTCATAGCCTTATTTTATCGCGGAATGTGCCTTTAAAGCATCCCATTTTGAAATTTACAGCAAACTTTGTTACAACTTTGAATCTAGCTTACTATATCGAATGGCTTGAGGAGGCCAGGCGCTGTTGCTCAGCACTCTTGTCGTCCTGGATGAATACGTTTCCGAAATACCGGGAAAAAGAAGTTTCGCTCGGATTGTGGGAGAAACTATCAGAAATTGGACCGTGATCGATACCGTTTCACAGTACCCAGCGGAACTGTTAGGCACCCCCCCCTCTATAATGCCTCGCTGTAGAGACCAGATACCGTTTCATAGTCCTGCGCCGATTGGGATCAGGGTTACTGAGAGTAGGGTCTGAAAAGGGACTTATCCTGACCTAGCTTTTGATTCTTTAGCTATGGATTTCGAGAGCCCCGATGGGGTTACTGTAACCATTCTCCGGATTAAGCTGCAAAATGGTGGTATATTGGAAAGGCTACGATATGGGCGGAATTTACCGAGAAATCTCGAGACCGGAGAACGCTGTAATACACTAATGTTGATGTCCACTGACCTTTTATAGCGAGTGAAACATTTTGAACTGACTTCAAGTGGCAGATGCTTTTGTTTTCCAATGGGTATTATGTCAATCAAATTATCGCAGCGTGACAAATAGAAATTTCTTCCTTTCACGTGAAGATCTTTGTCGCCATTCTATCACGCTTCTTGATAAGTCATTAGCAGAAAAACAACTTTTTAAGAAGAAAAGAAGCGAATATGGTAGCGAATATGGTCGATATGAGAGTAAGCGATATCAATGCGAGCTTTAGCAGCTTCGGTCAACAGTTCTCACCTATTCATGAGTTGTCGGCTCTTAACAGCCGCCATGGGTAAACTTCACTAAAAAAACTTGTTCTCGTAGGAGAGTGAAGATCAAGGTAACCTCGCGTATTGTGGGTGGCGGCCTTTAATGACAGACATATGGCCGCTCAGTGACTCTCCAGAAAAGAAAGAGCAAAAAAAATTGTGGAAGAGCATCCTAAGAGGGACCACCTGCAGCCAACCCCCTTAAAAATACAGTTTCAGCTTAGTAGTCCTGCCAGTAGCGACGTAAGCCTAAACAGTGTAAAGATGCGAAGCAGAGGCTGTCTTTTATCAGCCCTCATCACTCTCTATGCTCATCACCAATCATGAGAGACCCTCTTCACCCCATATATTGCTTGTAGTAAGCCATCCCTTACTGTCACTAGGACCGGTGCAATCGACTTCCTGGAGCTTCTCTTCTAACAACCTTATGAATTCCCATTAGTAACCAAAGAGAACTGAGCGTGCGGGTTCTAGTTCCGCCTAGGTCAGGATGTTTATGGCAGACATCCTGCCCCAGGCGGGACTTGAACCCGTGCCTTATGGTTCCCTGACCTGAGCGCTATCCATTAGGTCACAGAAATCGCTCTTAACCCTTCTCAGTTTGACGATCTTTGTATGTTCGTTGCCTTGACAAATTCTGGCCATTAACTCAGCAATTTCTTGCTAACCTTCGAGCGCGACCTGCTGCCGTCAAAAGAGCAGTTATCCATAAACAAAACAACTTCTTATAAGTTATCATTTTTTTTGTCACACATGATCAATGTTCAGCCCATATATCACTTCCTAAAACTACGATCCCACTGTTGCTGCATTACGCGCCAGGAATTGAATGACCCTCCCTCCCCCATTCTAAGGCACGGTATCACTTGCGACCACTTGTGCAACCACTCATCAAACGGTCGTATATCTCCCTATATCTTTCCTGAAGACAACCTCCAAGTGTTTTGCGGTCTTAAATTTTCTGTCACTCTCCTCAAGTACCCCTTCGCAGCCTCTTACGCAACTAGCTGTCGACGTTCACGTTCAATCACTCCTGCACAGCATCCCTTTCTTCACTTTGAAACATCTCTGTGGCCTCAACCAAAAGGAAGTTATACTCTCCGTCAAAAAAAGAACCGCGCCATACAGCTAAGCTTAGCGACCTATGATGTAGTAGGAATGCTCATGAGGAGTTCACTAACTCCCCTTCCCAGCTCCTAATCATGATGCTTTGGAGACAACCTGTTCAGTCACCTCCGCAGATCGTTGTCCTTGTCGTATTTGGAACTGATGGGTACATAGCTGCAGCAGCTTTTTTTAAGGTCAAAAAGCACGAAAAGGCAGTAGTGGGCCACTTCCTTCGCTCAAAAGTGCACTGCAGGGTTGTAGGGTAGTGATGCCGAGTGCCGTCCCCACTCTGCGCCACACGGACAGACGCACACCTGACCTTAGCGGAGCACACTTCCTCTCTGCGCCCTCTTACTTCTGCTATTCTATACCGCTGAAATGCGTGTTCCTGCGGGACCTGCGATCGAAGTTTGCAGCCTGAGATAGTACGGGACTGATCAATGAAGACGAACACTCCGGGTGGCACCTCCCGTCAGCCCCGTTTCTTGCAGCTTTCGTGTAGAGAGTGGCACGCTACTGCAGCCTAGGAACATATTCGCCTCACACATGGCTAGGATCGTTCTCGGAGGTGAGTGCATACCTTCTCACCCTGTTCAAGGCCGATGCAGCCTACAATTATAAGTTCATTTGCACCTTACGAAATCTAAAGAAAGGGTTATGCTCTGGTTGCTCTAAAACATCGCCTCCACAGCGGGCATGTAGTTTTTGGGCTCTTGAAGATTTCAGAAAACTTTTGAGAACAATGGTTTATTAGCAAAGATACAGTCTTTGATTTCTCGATTGAAATTTTCATAATGCAGGAAGACCTGAAATTTCCAACGATCAGCTTTTACTGGGATTGCAGTGAAACAATAATTGGTAGAAGGGAAAGGATATAAACCTCATATCTGGAGATGGTAGGGAGGGTTTGAGGTGAAGGAAGGGGTGGTGGAGCGTGTACCTTACGAAGAGCCCAGCGGCGACGACTACTCTTGGTGAGACATTGCTGTCTGAGACAACTACGATAATGGCTTTTTACACCACAAGCAGGGTGACAGGTGTCTCTAATCGAAAGCGCAACGTATCCTATTCCTTGTTCGAATGAAGTACGCAGCCAGCCCGCCCACCCCATCTCCGCGATATGAACTATACATCGAAACCAACCGTAGTTATTCTTTAGCACAGTTTCCTATCTCGTCACATGGCGGCAGTTGTACGACTCGATGGCTGTAGAGGAGATTCCACACTCGTAAGATTTCACGCATGAGTAGAATCTAGTACATAAAGATCTAAATATTGTCTGGTTTGCGCACTGTTCACCCCTATTCCTGCCCCTCGGTGTTCGGGCACATTTTGGAAAAAAAGTTCCCCGGGATAGATTTGGCCAAAACATTGTCCCAGTGTAGGTTCAACCCAGCGCGCACGCTGTGTGCATAGTGTATTTTCGTGTGGAGCGAATGTAGGATTCCTTCCCCTGATGCAGGTTTCAAGCGAGTTTTCAGCAGTTTTTTTTTCGATATATGCCTTTCAGTTGGCGCATGAGAGTGCAGCGGAGTCGAGCCGAGTGGTTGAGTTAATTCCGCTCAGAGGTCGACGCGCGCCATCGCAAAGTCTGAACGCGGCCCTACAGCGAGGCTTCGCGAGAGCCTTCTAGAGAATCCCCAAACCATTCTGAACGGATTAGCCCGTACTAACCTGTGCCAGTATTATCTTGGTCGGATAAGCACTTCTCAACCTGGTCACCATCTCCATGTCCACTAACAACTCGAAAAAGTACCTAAAACGATCTAGAAGTACCTTTCCACCTGAAGATTCAATTTCCACCCACCGGAAGCCTGAAAGGTATGAGGCTTTGTGTCTGCGCTAAGGAGCGGTGGCAAAGTAGGCGCTGCAAATGGCGTTGAGCGCATTCCGGAAGATTCGGATATGTTGACTTCCTGAGCATGACGGAAAAACAGCTCTAGTCAAACTTGCCGGTACTTTCGGTGGGTAGCCTGAGTTTGACGCTCCGGCTCATTCCCTAACAGCCAATACTAACACAATTCATGCAGCTCACCTCGGCCGGTTTGCGTGGTAGAACGATATAAAATGAGAACACCTAGGCTAGTCTGCCCTTCCTTGGAGAAACACTTCTACTTTGATAAGATTACTATCAAACGCTCACAGTCAGCCTATACCTCCACTGAAGTAGAAGGCGTTAAATAACCTAATGTGGAGGATGGCTATTGATCACTCCCGTCATGAACGGAGAAGAACGATTGTTCTTAGTGACTGACTGACCGAAAAGCTGCGATTCGATGTCATCCTGCACTTTGAAACCTCTGCGCTCATCACTGTACTTCAAAAAAAGCAACAGCCTTCTCCTTAGCCCTCTCCTGGCCTGTGGAGGACCAGCTTGAAGACAGTGCCCTTCGCCATTTCGCCGATTCATGCTGCGCAAATGTCGTCTCTTGGATTCGCACTTACTCTTCAACTTCTTGCATCACAGCGTCCGAGTCGGAGTCTCCTGCGTCTTCAGATGTGATGTCCTCGCTGAAGAAGTCACCGCCTCCATCCACGATGTAGGCGGGCATCCGCTACGGTCGATG